AAAAGCTCTAGCATAGTTCTAGTGGAGGGAGGGTAGACACCCGATCCGCTCGTCGGAGGAATTTAATGATTGCTTGTTTGAACGTTTCCGAGCCTTTCATGAAGGTGATCTACATGAGCAATTATTTGCCTTGACTCGAGAGGGGATTGTCATAAAAAATAGAGAGAGACTCGAGCTATTGTTGTGACGACTGAGGCTGATTTGTGAAGTAGTATTGTCATGAAGGTTCTAAAGTTCGACATACGTGCAACACTTCATCCGCCGTGACAACTAGACTTGGGAGAAATTGAGAATTGACGCAGCTGATTGAAAATAAAAATGCAATGGAACTAGCTAATATAAGCAAAACAGGTGAACCATCATACCGAAATGCTACAATCATGTTGAGACCAAAAACTCAAACGGTGGGAGTCAATAGGGAGGCTTGTCGAAACATGAATAATGGGCCACGAGCAAGAATAACATTCAAACGTCATATAGGAACAAAGATTCAGGAGAATTGAGCAAAGGGGTTATGTATTTAGTGAGATGAAAAATTTTTCTAAGGACACCGTCGCAAGGATTGGATGGTACAAGTGCAAGTTGTCACAATATGTGACGATGAGGCAGGGGAGTTTGACCCAAAAATAGTTTTTATCCAAATTGAGGACTAGGCACTTCCTTGGAGCGATAGTATTGTTACGTCAGTGCCTAAGGGCAAATTCGTCTTTTATTAGCCTAAGGGCAATTTAATCCATCGTTATTAATATTATTGTTGTTAGTATAAATAAGACTAATATATTTAGTGTTAGGGTTATGCATGAGATTGAATTTTGTATCTTAGGATTAGAGCTTTGAAGAGATTTCCTATCTCTCGAATTGTAGGATTCGAGAGAGATTGCTTACTTTTTGAATTGTATGTTTATCGTTTATATGTTGTGTTGGTTGTGTTATTGATGAAAAAAAATTGTTATGCCCTAATTTTTATGTGAAAAATTATCTCAGATCCTATTCAACATCTTTATTCCTTCTGAATGGATGATCGACAGGTATGAACATTCAATGACAGTCGAACAATCATTTTTTTCTGCCATATTTTAAAGTAAATGTCGCAGATAAATTCATATAGTTTGAGCAAGCTAATTTCCCCACAATATTCCATCCCAATAATATTGTATACACAAGGAAATCATTTATTGTCCCCATTAAGGCGACTTGCATTTTGAAATTTTGTTTTGACACAATATTGTAGATGACATTTGTTTCTCATAATTATTTAAACTCATCTATCAACTGTTGTAGATATATTCCCTTTGAGCTTTGTGGCCCGGGATAATTAATGTGGGAAATATGAAAGGCGTAGTCATGCACATTTCTCACAGTCAATTATAAGGTGTAACTTAAATTAGTTAGTATGAGTAGGGCGATGTGGCCTGACTGTATGTAACGTGAAATCATTTGCACATAAGTTAAGTTCAACATTGAGTTAATCTATTACAAATTTAGGATAAATACAATTAAAATATTTTTCGGGCTTCCCTATCTGCTGGATGAATCAATAAGTTATTCACATGTTCTGTTCTGATTTCATCTCATATGCGAAATAATATGTATATAGAAGAATAGTCCTTGAAGGCATGTAATGAGTGACAATTAATACTGTCGTTTGTATGGAAAATTTTTCTTTCTCTTACTCTTCCGACTATGTGGTTTGAATCTTTCAACACCTCAAAAATTACATAATTTTATTTGCATTAGCTCAATAATATAACATGCAACCATTTGTATAACTATCTATCATCTTTGATATCAACCTTAACTTGGATACCATTTTCTTTGTTCTATTCGTGTTCTCTAGTAATAAATTTTCATTGGAATTTGTCTTCTTCAATAGCCTTTCAATTTGGTTAAAATATTCTCTAAGCATATTATAATCTAATTTAATACTTAACATTCCAAGTACCATTGTTAACTTAGAGTGTGTTGTGCAACCTTCCCACAACGGTTTTTTTGCGGTATTCAGTAATTTATAGAATTTTTGAGCTTCACTATTTGATGGCTCGTCTTCAACCACTTGCTCGGTAAAGTTGAAATTGGTTGCATCAAATATCATTTTTTTCAAATTTATTGAGATCATATTCACTTGGAGTGGCATAGCTTGTTAATAAGTCGAACTAATCATATTCAAAATGTGGTTCACACTCTGCTTATTCAATCCTGTACCATTAATTAGGTTGAAACCCTATACGATACCCTAATTTTGTCTGGTGTTATGAATGCTTGATTCTTATGTGTCGAACAGGGGCATCATAACTTACCTTCTGAAAAATAAGTAAAAAGTTGTGGGACTAGTAAAATAAATCCTTCCATATCATTTAAGAACTCAACGGCGAGTCATTGCTTTCTCGATACAATCTATTATACATTCATGATCTTAAATTTCGAATATCCATTGAATCTCTATAGATAAGTATAAAGACATTGAATTCATCAATTAAATATATATTTTTGTACATGCGTGCACATGTAATGATTGAAGTTGACATCTTATATAAATAACAAGAGATTCTATGTACTCAAGCTGGATATAAGATGCCATGCACTCTAAATTGATGATGAATGTGTAATCCTGCAAAGTCACATGTGCAATACACTTGATGGATAACTCGCATAAAGACATGCCAAAACATATGCATGAAACTAATAAAATTTGAATTTCAAACATTAAAAACTTACATGACAAAGTTTTAAGTTTATGAGTTATACATTGAAACATATTTGAACTCATATCTAACCTGTGCTTAGCACACTACTTAAAACTAAAATAAACTTAAAATTTAACCAATAACTAAAATTAAGCTAAACTAAACCTAAATTTTAAATAAACTAAAGCTAAACTACATTTATGCTCAAAATTTTAACTAAAATGAAACTTAATCAAAATTGAAACTCAAACATAATATAAATTAGAAGCCAATAATTTGCTTACAAGTGACAAGATTATGAAGTCTAACTAGTTCGAGTTACAAAATACAAGTTAAGATTATTAAATTTTGATTAATATTGGAGATGTAAGACTTCAACTATATTTTGTAAATCCACTTTCTTACTGAAATTTGATTCCACTTGAATATATTTTTAGGGTAAGTGAAGGTTAAAGGCTAAGGCAATTTGGTGGAGGTAGCTATTGGACAAATGTCATAAAATTCATAAAATTATTAATAAACAAAGCAAATATACTAAAAAAAAAAGAAAATACACCACAAAACATAGAAAATAACATAAAAGTAATTTTACCCAAATCCCATTGATTAAGGCTTTCTCATTTAAGTGCCTTTTTAGAATTTTCCTCTTTCTTCAACTTTATGTTCTAATACTAAAACATGGTGTTGGGTTTAGATATTGTCTTGGAAGCATATGCTATTAATGAATATTAAGTTTCAAAGATTCCAAAAAAGGTCTATAAGCAAGGGATTAGAGTTGGATAGGAGGAACTAAGGAAAATCCCAGATTATGGGTCGGCCATACTAGGTGCAATCTAAAACAGAAACCCACCCTTGATCTAAACTTCACGCAATTTGGTGCAAAGGATTTAGGTCACTCTAGGGGATTGGGCCACTTGATAATCGTAGATAGGATGCCTAGTTGGAGAGGTGAAGGTTGTTTGGGTTTACAACCAAATCAGTAATATAAAGGAAGTCGGGGGTAGTTGAGTTACCTTCCTAAGCTAACTGTCGTCGGAGTCAGAGTTGGTCAGAGGCTAGGATTCGGGTCATTATTGATTCGGGTTAGTGGAACTGAAGGTTCATCGGAATTGAAGTGTTGCTTGGACCTTTGTCGGAGCTCGTCGGAGGCTACGTCGTTGCAGAGAGAAGGGAGAAGGAGAAGGTTTGGGCATCACTGAGAGAAGAGATAGCCAGAGCGAAAACACAAGGGAGAGAAAAAAGGAAAGTGAATGGTTCGCGGGATGGGTAGGTTAAAATAATGACTAGCAGTTGATTGGCAACCGACATGTTGTCAACAAAATATTGCGACCGAAATTTGGATCACCGATCAGCGGCTTTTAAGTGAAGAAATAAACGATCATTTAATAGCGATCAAAATTTCGGTTGCAAAATGCAGCGACCAAAATTTTGGTCGCTGCATTTTGGAACCGATGGTCGCTGCATTTTGGAACCGAAATTTTGGTTGCTAATCAGTTTCTAACTTAATCAATAGCAAAATCGGTCGGTAAATTACTGCCTATAAAAATTAGTCTGTAATTCGGGTGCTATTAGGTGATTCTTCAGTAGTGTATGTGGAGACATTATTAACATAGAGTGAAATAAAGACTTTATTGATCATCAACATTTAAGCATATTCTTACTAAAATGGAGTTAAATTTAAGATAACATAATTGCTAAAATTCATTAAATATTACAAAGTGATAACTCTTTTTTTGTTATGTCCCGATTAAATTTAGGAACTATATCTTTGCAGTTGATTTTTTTAGATATTCTTTGTAATTTATGCATTTGAGCTATTTCTGGTATGTGAGACCTTGCAACTTCAAAGAATCCCTCATGATTAGAACTCAAATGAAGTATAACAGAGCTGATTCCACTTGAGGATATACAACACCAAATCACTTTTTGGTAAATTTGATATGCAGAGTTGGTAGAAGTGCAAAAATAGGTATTGTGAAAGTGGGTAATCAGCTAATGACTATTAGAGGAGAGCAATAAAAAGAAGATTGTACTATTTTCTTGTTTAACTGGATAAAAGTAGGCATGTACTTTTTAATTAATGCCTGTAGATTTGTGCCAAGCTACAGCTACGGCTTATTAATGTTTTCAACTCTGGAATCCATATAATGATTGGTTATTGTAGTTGTAAGTTTTATTTTATTATTATTATTCTTTTCCTTGGGCCAAGTATCATAATTGTGATATTCTTCATGCAAGGCTTTCTTTCACAATGCCTGTAGTCTGTACACGGTTTTTCTATGGGAACGCTTTAATGTATTTATTTTTCTTATGCAGCTGGAGCTTATAAGGCTTGTTGCTTCTCAAAAGCCTGTAGTAGCTGCAGTTAGAATTTCACATAGACTTGATATTATTTTGGTGAACTCTGCCCAGCCAACCATACTTTCTGAGGTTTAATATTTGAACTACAGTCAACTTCGTGCTGCTTCACTATTGTGACCATCCAATTTTGCGTTTTTTGATCAACCAATTTATATAGAATAAAGTGTCAAAATATTTCCCTGACCATTTACATGTGGTCATTTTAGTCCTAGAGCCTATAAAACTATCAAATTAGTGCTTAGACGCTTTTAATATAGTCTAACATTGTTCCCATGAAGGACTATTCTAGCCCCTATTAAAATAGAATGGTAAATTTGCACCTTTAGAGACTCTTGGGTTACTATGGATGCCTACAAAGAGTCAGAGGGACTATTTTGACACTTTTCTCAATTTATATACTTTCCTACGTTTTTCTAAAACCATATTGTGAATATTTTTGTTAAGGCTAATGATGATAATGACATTTTAAATTATAGGCTGTGGCCTTGTTGGAAAGCATGCAAGCTGGACTGGAAGCAGTTGTGATTGCAATATTTGATGGATCCACTGAATTAAATCACCATACATCTGAAATAAAGTTCCAATTGCATGTTATTTTTGAAGGTTGTCATTTTCTTACCTAGCTTTCATTATAGTTTGTAGGGGCATTTTCATACATACCACCCAATTCTTATGTATTTACATCTGTAACGCCTCAAAGTTTTCATATCACATAAAAAATACCATCATTTTAACTTTTATAAAGTGAAATACATCTTTTTATTTATAGCTAAGGTGGCTTGCATGTAAAAATTAAAGTTTAGGTATTAACATGTAAATACTTTGAAATTGTGTGTTTTCGTAGGTCTTCCTACTTTCTAATGCTATACACAGAAGCATTCTAATTCTCGTTTTACATGTGTTCACAGGTCTTCTTCAGCAGCTTCTTTCACAGAAGTGGGCAGAACCACCTCTTACTGTATTATTAGCGCATTATCTGGATGCATTGGGTCCTTATTTAAAATTTTATCCCGAGTCAATTACTACTGTTGTCAATAAGCTTTTTGAACTTCTGACATCGCTTCCATTGACGCTCAAGGTTTTTGTGTAATTTTTTTTAGTGATAACATTATCAATAGCCTGCTATCTTCTGTTTTCACCAATTGCATGGACAGGATCCCTCAAACATTGCTCGTCATGCTAGATTACAAGTATGTACATCATTTATTCGGATTGCCAAAGCTGCTCAAAAAAGCCTTCTCCCTCTTATGAAGGTACATGCCTCAAGTATTCATTACCGAAAATTATCATAAGTTTTATTTTGAGATTTTTTCGAATGACCTATATATGCAAAAGTCAGCTTGATTATTTGCACACCTACATTTGGCAATACTTTTTGCATAATTTTTTGTAAGAAATTATGCTTCCTATAGTGATTTGCCGGTTCGCTAAAGCTTTGAAAGTTGGCTTATTCTATTGTAAAAATTGGCAGAACCGCAAAACCGATTATAATAATATTTATTTTATATCATAATTAATAGTAATTATAGAAATTAAATGATAATTCTTTTTTTAATTTACTTGCTCACGATACCTACGAAGCAGGCGTCGTTTGAATGTCTTCCTTGGCCGCAACTTTTAAGCGGGGGTTATATCCCTTGTTCCTTCATGAAGAAGGGCGTGAATGTTCCCTCGCTCGAGCGTCTTAAGCTTGTGATAGTAGGATAGGAGTGAGAGCTAGAGAACAGAGAGAGTGTGGGAGGCGAAGGCGAATGGTGCTTCCTTTCGTCATTGGATAAGAGCAAGACAACAAGTGAGAGCTGGAGGAAGAAGGGACCTTTCCTGCATGTGAGAAGCTCGTGTGGCTCAAGTAGGAGCGTTCTTTGAGCACGTCTTTGACGGACTGTGAGTTAGGGCGAAGGAAACCAAGCATACGAGCAACGTGTAAAGGTTACCACAAGCTTAAGACGCTCGAGCGAGCGTCTATGATGCTTTAAGAGCAAGAAGCAGCTTGATGAAAAATGAAAATGGGTTTTTTCTTTTAGGCACGGAATTCGAAACTGTCCTAATTGTTCTCATTACAATTGATTCCTAGTCTTCGGGCTGGATTTCAGAAACCCTAAAAACTGAAATTTGTTAGGTTTTATTAATATTTAATGAATAGGGAATTTCTTAGGTATGAATCCAGGTGCAACAGAGCTATTTATTTTGTAAGTGCTAAATTATATTAGATGAAGATTTAGTTCAACTTTAAGAACTAGCTCAAGTACGCCAAAATGGAAATTGTTAGATGTTTTTTCAATAAGAAAATAAATAAAATATGAAAGTTAAATGGATTTATTTATTACATATTGTTATGTATAATCATGGCAGATAGAATTGTTTTGAATTCAGAGTGTGATCTTGAGTAGATAGAAATTTTTTGCTAATTTTCCTTTGTTATCAGGGTCATAACCAGACTTGAAATGGTTTGCTGGAGAATTTTTGAATTTTTGTTGATGGTATTATTTCTAGTTGAAATTTTCATCAAAATAGCCATCATCTGGTGGAACCATTTTTCTTTTTTTTTTTTTTTAATTTAGATCTTTTCATCTCTACTTGAAGTTTTTGCAGGGGATCGAGTTTGTAGTGCGTATGGTTTGGATTTGTTAAAATTTATCGCGTTGTAACTTATCGCATTGCAAACCTTGTCAACTCTATTTTTATGTTTAGAGGTTAAAGTCTTGTTGAAATTATAATTGTGTGTTGTGAGCGTAGTAATATTCAGAGTTTTCATTTTACAAATAATTTTTTTTAGAAAGGTATTGAAGGCCTTGTGCAACTATAAAATAAAATATCTTATCATTTTAGGCTTATTGTGTGGATACTTGTTATGAGTTTCGAGCCTTCTCAATTCTAGTTTTAGGATATGGAGTATCAGATTTGAAATTAGGACTTATGATCCTCCCTTATAAGTAGGGTGGGCTGCTCAAGAATGCTGTGCAAGATGATGATGTCTTAATTTTTTAAAAAGATGAATTGAAAAATATTTAAGTGGTTGCACGTTTTTTAAAAGTAGTTTTGCTGTCCTTAGTGCCAAGGCAAGTTTAATTTCAACTTGTTTTCAAATTATGCAGTATTTTCTAACTTTAGCCTTATTCATTTAGCATGTTTGTTGGAACATATGTGTAAGATATTATTTTTGGGGATTTGGTTTGTCATGCATGCCTTCTGTATCCTTTCATAATTGTTATATTTGCATCATACATTTGCACACTCTCAGTTTGCATGCATAGTTTACTAGCATTCTTTCCGGGGCATTGAAATTTGATTGAAGATTGCCTCATAATATTCGTAGGGGACTTAAATTTTTTGGTTTTGAAATATTTTCACGAATATCATTTTTTTGAAGATGCACACATCTATTTTGTGTTTTAATAATCATTTTTTGTCCACGTGCCTGTATATGTTATAGAGTAACTAGAGAATTTTTGTGAATTAAATATTTCATGCATTCTCAAAAATGTCACATTATTATCCTCATGTGGTATGTTTTCATTCAAGTAGACCTCAAGGATTCAATGTTCATGTTATAAATAGCAAGTATAAATGCTAGGGAACGATGAGATTTATGGCTATTGGTATTTAGACAGACAAAACACTGAGAACCGTTGGGATCTTACTGTAATAGAACACAATGAACTATTAGTACCACGGGAAAATTGATAATTGTTATGTTGGGAGGGGCTCAACCTTTATCAATAGCTAATAGAGTCTTCGGGCTAAGTGACGAGCCAATGACATGACAAGACATGAAGATAGCTTAGATCTATACAATTACAAGTAATAGGAAAGATTTATACAATTACAAGTAACATTCCTATGATTATATTGATAACTATTATGATTATGCTTGTGATTACATATTATAGATGAAATACATGTTTTATACAACAATCATGATTTTCTGTTATGATAAGTATTGTGTGCATGTACAGGAGTTACATATAAACATATACATTTTCTCTTTTATGTACATAAAATTTTATTTTAGTCTTGATTGTTTCGCTGAGCTCGTTGTTGCTCACTCTAAGTTTGCTTTCAGGAAGAGTTAGGAGCATCATGAGTAGTTGTAAATGACTTGTACAACTTTTACATTTTATATTTTTGGGCACTTATACAGACTTTTAAGTATAAATTTTTAGCATGTTGGATTTAGGAGCTTTGTATACATGTTGTGGTGATATAATTTTTACGCTTCCAAGTACATGCATAAAAATGAATTATGAAGTGAAATGTATATGTATGTTTACAGTGATTTAGTTAGATTAGTTCATCACTCACTGAGACATGTTTCTGCAAGTCAGGTCGACTGCTGGTGAGAATTTAGTTTGATCGAATCCTCTACTTTCGTTGCATCATAGTTGACTCTTAAAGGGACCAATTGGGGTGTGACAGAAAGTAATGTAAGAGTGAGATTATTGGATGAAAAAAATAATGAAAGTGTGTTAGACTTAGAAGAAATATATGATCAAACATTAATTGATTTATACAGAACTATATGTTAGTTGATCTGAGTTGGTTAACCCATATGATTTAAGGTATCATGCTTGATCATGCACAACATATTTATTATACGATAAATTGAATTTGAATAATATATTGTGCCAATATAAATGTATTTGGCTCAATGAGAATAATAAACTATTAAGAGTCGGCCTCCTAGGTCAATTGTAGAGCAAGAAGTAGTACAAGTTGAAAATGTCTTGAACAGAAATGATAATCATAATATGACAAATGAGGAAACTATAACCACTGAATTACACGGCATTGTTTAGTTGATATCACAAGTGATTGATAAAATTACTACTATTGAAAGATCTTTTACTAGTATAAGATCTAGATATGAACTTGGGGCAGAAATTGATAGGAACATGAAGTTCTATTAGAAATTTGAGCACTTGCACTCAAGGGTGTCAGTGACCTTACAACTGTCGAAGATTGACTATTGAAAATTAGTAAGATTATGGACGGTATGATTTATCCAGAAAATAGGAGAGTGCTGCTAGCCACTTTGATGTTAGAAAATGAGGAAGAGAGGTGGTGGTAGGCACACGAGCGAGATTTCAGCTGACAACTTCTCCACAGATTTAGTGAGATGATTTTATCAGTCTTCAAGGATCGGTTCATTTCGTCTTAAATCTGATTAACACTGCAAGATAAATTCTTCAATCTGACATGGGGGTCCAGATCAATTATGCAATATAAGAAAAAAAAAAAATTCTTTCCAGATATGCCCCTCACGGGTCCAGATCAATTATGCAATATAAGAAAAAAAAATTCTTTCCAGATATGCCCCTCATTATGTCAGTACCAAGGAAGAAAAAACCATAGATTTTTGCGCGGCCTCTGAGATGAGTTATGTTTGACTTTGGCGTCATTCAAAATTAGTGATTTCTCAGTGCAGTTGAAAGAGATAGACGAATTGAAATCGAGCCGAACTTTTCCAGTCAACGGTGACAATCTTTAAGCAAGAGAAAATATTTTGGTAAGACGGAAGAACTTCAGAGCAACAAAATTAGATCAAAAGGTAAGTAGAAGCAAACTTAGTTGGAAAGGTCAGTTTGTGAGAAATGTGGAAAAACAAATTTTGGGCAGTGTTTCTTGGGTTCAGGAAAGTTACAAATGTGGATAGGTAGGGCATTTCTAGATGAATTGTTCGCATGAAAAGTAAAGAGATAGCAGATCAAGGACAGTTCAAGGGCAGAAACAACCCAAGCAATTTTTGGATGGCAATCAGCTCAACGAAACTCAGCTTTTGGAGAAACCTTCATTGCAAGCAAAGGGTGAAACTTTAGAGCGCAGATCTGAGCAACTAGTAGAAGCAAGAGTTTTTGCAATTACCCCTTAAGAGCTAAAAAAATTGAGAAAGTGGCTAGAGGTATGCTTTTAATTAAAGATCAGTATAGCACTATTTTGTTCGATTTGACATTATTTCATTTCTATTGAGTTTATTGTTAGTTTATTTGTTGATATTATGCACTTTACTCATGTCTTATGTGTTGTTATGCCTTTGAGAAGTGATTTTTATGCAGATAGAAAATGCGTCGTCTATGTTAACATTCTTGACAAGAAGTTGCAAGCAAAATTAGCTATCATACTAATTTAGATTTTTGATGTTATATTGAGATTAGACTGATTATTAAAGAATTTTGTTACGATTGAATGCTGAAAAAGGCTAGTGGAACTTAAATTTGCCTAGTGAATAACCGCTTAATATCTCATGTGATCGAAA